AATTTTCCACAGTACCCAACAATGAGACTTGGTGGGACACGGATATTGATGAAGGCTATTGTCTAACTCTGAGGGCACTTGCTTTCCCTATCTATGCATTACCTACTCTATTTGCCCTTTAGTACTGTCATAGGTTTCCTGATTATACCTTGAATATCTTTGGTGGTAAAGGTCACTGACAGATCCACTAAAATGCTTTCCTTCCATTTCTACATATTTTATTTTTAACCCAAACATGTAATGAATAACTTGTAGTGTGCTCTATTGAAGTTTGGAAAAAAAAATCCAAGATCATATGGCAAAACAATCAGAGATTATTGAAAGAGTTACTTAATCATGCCTATGCTTTTGATTTTCCTTAAATCTTCCTCTAAATTGTCTATTCTTTCAGAAATGTTATGCTAATGTTAGTTAACATGCTTAGCTGCTTAAATGTGATTTGGTGCTTTGAGGCTCTAGGTAATATATATTTGAATGTAAATGCTTGCTAATTTTTGACTAACTTAGCTTGCAGAAAGTCTGGCATTTCAGATAATGAGGCCATAAAGCAGACCACTAATGGGGTAGGCACAGATGCTATCTCAACCACAGGCATTTGAGTACTTTCCTCCCAAGTAATAGTAAATATCTCAGGACAACATAACAGTACCAACATTCTATTCTACCCCCTGGACAGACATGAACACATCTGTCCCCTGACATCTAGGCAATTCTAGGCAGAAACTCCATCTTATATTTGTTTATATTCCCAATGACACTTAATGTGCCATGCAAAAAAAAAAATTATTAGTGCCTTTTAATACCTACTTTATTTTATGGCCTGAGTAAATTGTTGAGTTTATAGGCAACTTGAGTCAAGTGTTTACCAGAACCAGAAGGGAGTCCATTAAATCCCAGGTCTCATGTCAGCATGGACAACTCAGGAACTCAGCCAAGAAAGTTCCATGCACACAAATCCCCTGGTGCATCCCCATCCCAGAATGTGTAGCACCTGCACCTTGGTTGCATCCCCAGCAAGGCTGTCAGGACTGTGGCGCCTTTTCCATGACAGGCAGCCTGTGTAGCCTATTCAAAGAGTGCCACCTGCAGGACAAATTGAGGACTCCTGAATACTGCATCTTCAAACGATTTGAAGAATGTTTAAAATGTATTCGAAAGCTATTAACATTTTAAGGTAGAGATGAATGATGGATAATGGATTTCTGTGTTAATTCTTCATAGTTTATCATTTATGTCTATTTTAATAGCTACCTTAAACGTCTTCACCTCAGAGAGGCCAATCACAGGTAGCCCCATTATCTTAGAGTGGAGATGCATTTGTCCAGGGGCTTTATGGCCCCTCAATCTCTTCTCTGGAACAACAATTTCCTCTGCTTGGTGGCTTGATTTCCCTGCAGAAGGGGAAACTTGTAGGAGCTCTAGCAGATGTGGTGGCTCTCTTCTTGCTCTGATTTAAGACATTTATTTAAACCTGAATACTAAGAATGAGTACTTAGAACCTCCTCTAAATATCAGCCTCAGGATGACAGAATTGCAACCGTCTAGAGTCCTGCTCACAGCAAGCCTCCAGCCCCCTATTCCACATGTGCAGTGTCCTTCCTTGCCACATCCCAGGAACAGCAATCTTAAAGAAGAAACAAGAGTTTCCATATTCTGGCTTTTTATCATGGTCCTCCACCACTGATCCCATGACCCTCACCTAACTGAGAGCATGTGAAGCAAGTAAGATAAAAAGAGCCCTTTCCTTCCAGATAAGTCCCATTCCCACTACATGGTAATCAGGTCACACAGAACCAAGTAGGTGTCAGCCAGATTGCTACTGACACCAAACTGCCATCCATGGATTCCTCATGTAGACCAACAACTCCTGGTCACTCTCCCCAGAGTGAAAATTAAAGAACAAAACAGGATTGATAAATTTCTGGGTCACAGGCTCTACGTCTGCTGGCCCATTCACAGGGCAATGCGATGACCTCAGTACCCCACTTCCATACTTCCTTTTCAGTCCACACTGTCTTCCCTTCCAGAAGACACAATCCTCCTAAAAGCATGGGATTCTTAATGTATCTTTGCTACAAAAAGTTAAAACTCTTTTCTCCCTCAAAAAGCATTCTGGACCCAGAGGCGGGGAGGTGGAAATGATATCCATGGACTACTAGTTAGCAGGATAAACAGAACGGTTGTAATGAACATCAAACAGGATGGTACAGCAGCAGCCCCGCTCTCGCCATTCTTGCTCTTTGTCCTGCACGTCCCACATGCAAACAGAGCCTTCAGAAATGAATTTTATACTCAGTTCCTACACCTCAATAAAATGGGACAGCATAGCTTAAGGGTAAGAAGATGACTCTGGGGTCCAACAGACCCGGATAATCCCAGAAGAGCCACGGACAAGCTGAATGATGGGGCCACATTGAAGAACTTTCTGAGCCTCAGGGTTGTCTTCTATAAAACAAGCTGGAACTATCATTCAGGGTTGGTATAATGAAACTTACTTCTCAAAAATGTGTCCATTGTTTCCTTATTTCTTTAGTATGAATTTAAGTTAATGTATCTTTGCTACAAAATGATAGGTATTGGCCCTTATGAAAGGAATATCAAACGTCAATGAGAAGGTAGAGGAGTAGTCAGGAAAAAGGAAACTGGAGTGGCCACAGACTTGCTTGGTTTTAACAACACACAGAAATGACAGCCCCCCCCCCCACAGTTCTTTTCCCAAGACTGGCATTGCCAAAAGAACTGGAAGGGCTTTACCAGGTCAGGAGTACAGGTGGCTTGGGGTTATCCTTCTTAAGAAAAGGTTAAACCACAAGGCAGCCCAGAGGCAGGAGCACTCAAGCTCTGGGATGATTCTACTCCACAGACTATCCCTAGTACCATAAGCCCAACTCTCAGCGGATAGGAACATGAGATATAAGTGGAATCATACAACATCTGTCCTTTTGTGACTGGATTATTTGATTTAGCATAATGTCCTCAAAGTTCATCCACACTATACTGTGTATCAGAATTTCCTTACATTTTAAGGCTGAATGATACTATGTTGTATGGATATGCCACATTTTATTTACCCACAACCACCATTGGACATTTGCATTGCTTCTACCTTTTGGCTATTGTGTAAAATGCTGCTATGAAGCTCAATTCACAATAGCCAAACTATGGAACCAACCTAGATGCTCTTCAACAGATGAATGGATAAAGACAATGTGGTATATATACACAATGGAATATTACTGAGTCTTAAAGAAGAATGAAATTATGGTATTTATAGGTGAATGGGTGGAACTAGAGAATATTATGCTAAGCAAAATAAGTCAATCCCAAAAAATCAAAGGTCAAATGTTTTTTCTGATATGTGGATGCTAATTCACAATAAGGGATGGGAGGCTAGGGAAGAATAGAGGTACTTCGGATTAGGCAGAGGGGAGTAAAAGGAGGGGAGGGAGAAAGGGGGTAGGAAGGATAATAGAATTAATTGGACATTATTACCCTATGTGCATATATGACTCCATAACCAGGATAATACATATCATATAAAACCAGAAGAATGAGAAGTTATACTCCATTTATGTACAATGTGTCAAAACATACTCTACTGTCATGTATAACTAATTAGAACAAATTTTAAAAATGCAGCTGTGAACATGGATGAGCCACTGATTTAATTCCTTTTGGGAATATACCAAGTGGAATTGATGGTCTTATGGTAATTCTACTTTTAATTTTTGAGGAACCTTTATATTGTTTTCTCCAGGGACTGCACCATTTTCCATTCCCACAAACAATGCACAGGATTCCATATGGGGCCTATCTCCCCAGGTGGCAAAACACCCACAACCCCCCGAGTTCAGGTCATTGCAGCCGTGGGTTTCTGGCTCCTGTAGGACCTCTCTCTTTTTAGCATATTCTTGTAGCTCCCCTGGAGTTGCAGTAATTCTTCACAGCTTCTCTGTTCTCCTTTGTTTCTTCATAGGTCCTCTCTCTTTGAGCCCACAGCATATGTCTGTCTGGGACTGGCAGCCTCCCTGGATAAGGACTGGGACTTTGCACAACAAAGAATGGCTACCCCCTGGTGGGATCACAGCCAGTGCTGGATAAAGCCATGATGTGGCAAAACACAGCTTTGTCACCTCCTAGCTTCAGCAGCACCCACTCCTCAATCCCATAAAGCTGCCCTCGCTATCCCAACACTTAAGAGTTTTATTTTCTACTACAATTAACCCCACCTGACAAAACAAGCAGACAGCATATTTCATCTTGAAGATGAAAATTTTTCAGGATCCATTTGGAAATCCCCCAACAGAGAAATAAAGAGTGAAGATAGGCCTGGGGGCTATAGCTCAGCAGCAGAGCACTTGCCTAGCAAGAGTGAGACACTGGATTCCATCCTTAGCACCACGTAAAAATAAATAAAATAAAGGCATTCTTTACATCTACAATAAAATATCTGAGGTGGAGACTCTGAAAAGAAAACCTGTTTTGTTATTCTAGCATTAGACAAATGATTGGGTCCTCTTATACCATATCTTTGCACAAGTTAGAAAACTGCTCTTTTGGGGTCACCTGCACAGCTCAGATAAAAGACTGAATGCTATATAAATTACAGACTAAATTTTGTTAAGTGATCCCAAGACATAATGTCTGGGCACATTCTGCCCAGTGGCCAGCAATTCTTCCTCAGAGTCCTGGAAGGTACACATCTTTGCAAGCAGAGCCAGGGTGACTTTTAGCTCAGACTCACTGGCAGTGACAGTTAACAGCAGTAGCCCTGGATTGATGATGGTTCTAATAATGTTACCTGCCTGCCAACACCATCTTGTAGACAAGGCATTTTTAGATGATGCTGGCAGGAAAATTTTCTTTGAAGACCATAAACTTGGGGGTCTCTTTACCACTAACCTAGTGAGCTACGAGAACACAAAGTCCTCATTGCATCAGGCTTAGTAGCCACAGGCTATCAAACCAACATGCTCTCATCACACACACAAACATCTCACCTGAGCCACTTCTTCAAAGTCATCGTGTCTCTTCTGCAGGGCTCGAGCTCGATGCAGGGACTTCCCAACCCCAGTGTGTTTGCTAAGAAAGGCCTCACCATGGTTTTCAATCCAGTCCAACACCTGGCCAGAGAAGAAAAACAGAAACAATGATTCCCAGAAAAAGGAAATAAATATAACAATACGTGCAACTGCTTCAGTCCTACCTATTCCCCATCCCTCAGCTTCAGCAAGAGCAGTCTGGTAGAAATGTTTAGCCCACTATGAACACAAGGGATTTCAGCAGTCATTGGCAATATAATGTTCTACCTTTAACTAAATTCAACTCCTTGATCTCCAGAATAGACTTCCCTCATTCTTTCAGCTTTCTAAGCCTTAATTAACCCATCATTTTATTTGTTTTATTTTCTATTTGGTTTTGGTCTAAAGAGTGAATGCAGGGCCTTGCACATGCTAAACTATGCTTTAAATAAGCTACAAAGACCATCAGGCACAGTTTAAACCTCCATTGCCTCTACTCCGGCCATGTAAAGTCAGACTAATTGGCAGGAAATTAGGTAATGGCAGGTTAGGCACTAGCTTGACCCTCACAACTTGTCTTCATTCCACCACAAAAATGCTCATAGCAGTGATGACCAGTCATGGAGATTCTGTTTCATCACGCTCCCTGGGCCCCTAATCTTGGAAGTAAAGCCTATAGTAGTCAGCTCAAGATTGCTGATCCCTAGCACAGAAGCCTTCTCTGGCTTCTTTCTACCTCTCTTCCAATCAGCTCCAACCAACCAACCAAATAAGTTAAGGTCTTTGTATTCTAAGGCCTTTAATATCTATGATTCTTATAGTAAGTATTGGAGACGCCATGTTCTTCCAGTCTTAAAAATCGAGTGATTTCAATAGCCAAGCTATGGAACCGAGGTGCTCCACAACAGATGAACAGATAAGGAAAATGTGGTACATACACATAATGGAATATTAATCAGCCATAAAGAAGAATGAAATTATGGCATTTGCCAATAAATAGATGGAACTGGAGACTATCATGCCAAGTAAAATAAGCCAATCCCAAAGAATCAAAGGCCAAATGTTCTCTCTGATATGTGGCTGCTAACATATAATAAGGGAGGGGGAGCAAAGAATATAAATTCATTGGATCAGACACAGGGGAATGAAGGGAAAGGAGGGGAGATGGGAATGGGAAAGATAGTAGAATGAATAGGACATAACTTTCCTATATTCATATATGAATACATGACCAGTGTAACTCCACATCACGTCCAACCATAAGAATGGGAAATTATACTCCATGTATGTATAATATGTCAAAATACACTCTACTATCATGTATATCTAAACATAACAAATAAAAAATTTATAAGTCTAGTGATTTGGCCCAAGGATACTAGTCTTAATGTATATAAAAGTTGGAGCAGATGTGGCTGGGGCAGTAAAAGGACAAGTGAGGGGATAATGAGAAAGTGAGAAAATACATTTCCCAAGGGGCACTTGGGAGAGGGCTTAGAAACCCCTGAGTAAAGCCTTGAAATGCAGCAGGGAAAAAGATCTTAACATTCTCTTTGTATTATCACAGATGGCTTCACAAAAAATGTGTGCATCCCAGGGGGAAGGAAAGAAGTTCATTTCTGGTCTCTGAAGAGCTGGGCACTCAGTAAATCAGAATTATAGTATAGACACACCTGCCAGGATTCTGCCAACACTCAACCGAGCCCATTCTGCTCCTGCTGGCCAATTAACTAAACATTTGATAAATGATGTAATGGACTTCTCAGAGTTTAGAAGGACTTTTTGGGAAGTGATTTAGATGAACTGTGTCTGTTAAAAAGGATGCTTCCATTGATTCCTGTTTCTTACACAGACTGCCCTGTGGCAAGCAGAGGTAGACCAAATCGTTCCATGGCCTACAGATATGGGAGTTCAGGCTGTACAGAATCCAGCCTTTGACTTCGCTTACTCTGGCATTTAGGTTAATCAATGTCTGAAATGTGCAAAGTACGGAGGTCTTCAAAGTCTTTAGTGTCATCATCCCAAAGTCCATACCAACATAGTGCAGTTCAGAGACAGATCTATGTAAATGTAAAAAATGAGGTTTAACAAGCATTCATGTAACAAAGATGAAAGGTCAGACAATTATCCACTATTATCCAAAATGGCTATTTATCTAAACATTAGGTATGAATATTGTAAACACTTTATATAACATTCTGGCAATGTATTTTTTAAAATAATATTCTGGATGCCCATCTGTAAAAAGTAATTGTGATAATGCTGGTATTTCACCTTTTGCACACACTGTAAGCAGAATAGAAAGGAAATCTTGAGTGTTTCTTAGAAAAACCTACATTTCTTTAGAATTATTTGTGGTGAAATTTCAACCAAAAAAAAAAAAAAAAGTCAAGAGAGTATATTTTTACTTGGCCTGCCACAATTACATCTCATGATATTGTCTCATAAAGGGAATTAAAAGCTTTGGCATACAAGGTCAATGATAAATATTTCTCGGCATAAAGTTCCCCAGATATTGTATCATAGGTTAAGTTACAGAATTTTGATGCATATTTAAACTTTTATTAGCCCCTTTTGATAATGAATTGAGGTTTGAGAAATATTTTTTCATATATAAAAGAGTTATCTTGTAACCTTTCATGAGTGCTTTTGGAATTTACAACAGATTTTTCATATCACATTTTTTTAAAATTTAGATAAGTATGACCTTATCTCCCAATATTTTCATAAATTTATCTTATTTCATTTTTATATCTCTAGTTTTAAGAAAATTGGTTATTCTACAGCACACTGATTGAAGAGGCATATGTTTCATCTACTAGTGCATACACAGCTCCTTTTTGCACTCCCTGGAGTGCACAACTTTTAAACCTTTTTGTTTTTTAGGTAATTTGTTTCCTTTCTAAGTGGCATGGCTTTCATTAAAATATCAATTCATTTTTAGTTAGTGGCGTTTAGTTTACTTAATTAGCTATGCCTTTACCACTTAAAATCCTATTATTTCATATTTGAAAGGCTTTTCCTCCATTTAAACATAACTTGGTTCTGTGATCTTTTATTGTCACCTCTTAGTGCAACTCTGCTGGTAGAACTGAAGCTGTGGGAAAATATGTGCAACCTGGATAAAGATTCAGGGGCTGCTTGAAAACCAGCCTAACAAATAAAAAAGCAAATGATTTAGGAAGTGAACAAAATTACTTTAGTAATACATAAAGACAGAGAAAGTACCCAAGGATGGATAAGCATATTATTTGAGGTCTTTTTAAAAATACTGATTTTTGAATGTTTTGTTTTCAGCCAGATCATTTAGAGCTCTCACTGCTCGATGCGCACATTCAGACCATAAACTCTCTTGACTCTGAGTTCATATTCTCTAACCCTGGAAACACAGCCCAGCTTTGTAGGTAGATTCTGCACAGCAGAGAAATGTGACTCTGAGCAGAAACTAGCATACCTGACAATTATATTACACACCAAAAATTAATTCGCAGCATTAGAATTCTAGATATCTACCAGTTTGGGTGAGTCTAGTTAATGCAAGCCAAGCCCCAGAATCTGAGCACTACTGGATGAAGAATAAATTGACTTTCTAGCCAAAATATAGTTGCTTCTGCAGTATGATCATCCATCTAGGTACTCCTCGTTTCTCTTAAATATAAGATTATATTTAAGATACTCAATGACCAGTAATAGTCATGTTGGTACAGAATGATAGTTATTCATATCTGTCAATGACTTTGAACAGATAAGAAATAGTGGGTGCTGTAGTATATAGGCAGGCATGGTCTAGCATCCAGGAACTCAGGCTATCGAGGTAATAAGTACTGGTCACTAAATCACACAACTCCTCATTAATTGCAAAGATGTAAAATGCCAACAATTGGATCCTAGCTGGGGTGGTCAAGAAACACCTCTCTGAAGAAATAAGGTTTGGTTGAGATCTGAGAGTGGGACTTAAACTAAGTTAGACATTAAAAAGTCCAACATGGCTTGGGTAGGGAATAAGTAAGAAATACACCCAGAGAAGATGAAACCAGGCTGTAGAAAGTCCTGTTGTGCTGAATAGGAGATTTAAGTGTTCATTCTGAGAACTACCAAAAAGTTGCAAGAAGAGAGGTATCACCTGATCTGCATTTTAAAAATCTTGTTCTATGTTAGCAAGATTTATGGAACATCAATTGGAGGGAAGCAAGAGTAGACACAGGAAAACAGGAGGTGACCACAGAAATTCTGGTTAGAGTTGATGGTAGCTCATACAAGGCCAAAGTCAGTGACTATGGGGAGACAGGTTTGGGGAAAGAATGCTAGGATTTGGTAATTTAGTGTGGTGATAGTGGAGAGGCCAATAGCAAGGCTGACCCCAAGGTCAGGGCTTGAATAGCTGGGTAGAAGACAAAGCTAGTCACTGGAGCAGAAGCAAATGAGTAACAAGAAGTAGAACAGGATGACAGATTTTTCCTAAGACTTTTTTCTCCTTCCATACTTATGCTCTCATTTTCATAAATGACAGCTGTGCCCCTGAACTTGAGTGGGAAGTGGCTTCCAATGACAGTTGTCAATCTGATTCTGGCAAACTGTTCCTTTAATTTTAAAGAAGTAATTTACATGTTAAGGCTTAAAATAAATTACATATTGTTAATCTAGATGGATACTACTAATATAAAAATCCATTTTAAAAACACAACCCCAAAACTTAAGTGGAATCAACCTATACATTATTAAAGGGGCTTTTCACTGTGGCATAGTTTTTGAGCAGACCATTAACCTGACACTGAAGTCCACTCACTCTTCACCCCATCTCCAGGGAGCTCCTGCCTCATCCCTCAACACCTTAGAGGCTGATTCTCACCTCACTGTCCCCTTCCCTTGAATGTCTATATCCCTTTTCTCCCTATACCCACTCCCCAGCCTGCCTCCTAGTCACCTTTTAAACTCCTTCTCGGAATCCCTGCCTGTGGAAATCATCTATTCTTTAGTAACCATCCAGGCTGGGTGGCTGTTGCTTTATTTTAATTCTGTTCAAATGATTATGGCCCACAGGCCTGTCTTCTCCTGCTGAACTCCAACTTCCTTATAATCTCAGGACATGGCATAGCACTGCA